CACTAACATATGTCTATAGAGTTTTATAGCCCTAATATGAAATACAGCTGATTTATATAATTTCCTCATTAATTATGCAAATTAGATCCTGATTGGCATAATTATATTTTGATTATGTCAAGCATCACTTAAGCTACCTACATACCAAAAATCATGATGATCCATCAAACGGTTGTTCAGTTATCCTCTCTCGAATATTTTTAAAGAAACCATCCTGCAGTTCCAGAACAAGCCGCTAGGGGGACCAAACTCACGTGACTTCTTCCCGAGAACAAGAGCTACCTTCCATCCAAATTTCATGACCCTAGCATGTCCAGATCGCGAGATATCAAAACCGGAAGTTGCGCTGCAGTACCAAGGGAAGCCACTAGGGGGCCCAAAATCTAATCATTTCCAGTTTTCGTCACACCCTACCAACACACCAAGTATGAAACCAATCCATCCAGGCGTTCTTGAGTTATCTTGTTGACCAACAGACGGACGGACAGACGGACGGACAGATAAACGCAACTGAAAATATAACCTCCATGACACATTTCATGGAGGTAACAAGAGATTATGTTGAGCAACGTGGGGTCCAAAAGCTTCATAAGAGTCATGGGTTTAATAGGAGAAAACAGAGCATAAGAAAAATGAAAATTCCCTGACATACCGGTATGTGTCAGTTATCAGCAAACAAAAACCATAACTGATCATACCCTCTTTGCAAAGTCCATTATGATTCTGATTCTACTAATACAGTAAAGCCAGTCCATGCCTTTTTAACAGTGCTCCATTCAAGCAGAGCATATGTGCAATAATTCTCTTTATTTAGTCACCATCACCATGTTGACCTTACATGTAGACATTTCATTACACATTCATGATACAGAAAAACACACAAGTTTTAAACATTTGTCACTTTGCACGTGAGACAACATTGCATGATGAGAACATCCAGTGATATGTATATTGTGTACCCAGAAAGTGGGAAACTGCGAATACTACTACATGTAGTATTGCTTTCTATGCAATAAAAGTGACAGAATTCATTTGCTTTAACTCTTCATCCTACTAACTTCTTAGCATAAAAAGGTAGTTATACTTCAATGAGTATGTCAACAAGAGGAATAACATTGCTATAGAACTGAATGCACTGCGAAAGTGACAACAATCACGATAATTTTCCTTCTAAGATTGCAGCACTAAATCTTTTATTAGTTATAGTCTTTATTTCCTATATTTAGTGTTCTTCGAAGTTCCTTTTGCCGGCATTGTACTGACAGTTTGATACAGGCTTCTTCTGGCAGTCTTGGGCCCAGATGTTGCTGCGAAGGAAGAAGTTACAGTATTCAAAACTCACATATCAGTAAGGCAGTTAGCCTATGTCTCCCAAGGGATAAAGACGATAAGTAAGATTGTATGAACATTCATCCCCTGTCAAATTTGACAAATGATAACATGCCTGATGATGATCAATATTCAATGCAGAAACACATGTTTGTACATTTGTACTCACCTTTCACAGGTTTGCCTTTGTCTTTGCTCAGGTTTGGTGCTGTCTTTGGACGAACTTCAGAGGCTTTGGTTGCATGTTTGGCAGCCCTAATTACCAACGTATACAAAACTGCACTGTTACCCAAGTCAGGCAATACAATATAGAAAAATATGACCAATAAAAGTTTATTGAAAGCAAACAGGAGAATGAAAAGGAAATTTTTAGTGTGTTTACATAGTGCTTGCCCCACCAGAGATCTTTGTTCCAGCAGAATCATCAGCACTGTCTTTTTTGCAGTCATTATAACACATATTTTATGAATGATGAGCAAATACAATTGTTTTAGACCTACATGTATGCTGTTTCTGCACACACAAAATGGTATGAGATCACAAGAGCTTTCAAAACAGTAAGTAGACAGTACCTGTTCCAAGTCCCTGATCTTACAGGGGAGGATCCCTGAATAGGCCTTAGAATCCTGGAACAACACAGTCCTCTGGGTTTAGGGCTTCTCGCTCAACAAAATAAAGAGAATACTACAAGCAGAAAGTGGAACATTTCTACAAACATAAGCTCTCTAAACTAGATCTGAAAAATGGAACAACAAGACTTTATTTTGAATATTACTCTACTGAGTGCTCCCTATGAGTAGAAAGGTGTACAAGTAGCTGCATGTTGACTTGAATAAAGAAAGCATGAGGTTCATGTAGCATGTGGTGCATGAAACTCAGAGTAGAAAAACCATATGAATGGAATTAATAGCTAGAAGTTTACACCTGGGTTACATACAGTACCTGGGGTTGATGGTGTTTTTCCTTCTGCTGGGGCTGGTGGAACTTGACCTTGGAGGAGCTGTCAGGGAACGACCAAATACTGCTGCCTCTGCTGCCCTGAGAACACAACAGCACAGACAGAGGCATATCAATGATGTATCTATAGTCAATATCAACAACAGTCTGTATCAACTCAACAAATGAGGCACATACATGTAACATTACCAGTAACACCAATATTAGTATACCAATGTAACTGGTTACAAATGACATGGCTTTGGGCCTGACCATGTACTAAGACCATCCATTACTCCAACATGACACAAGTAATATTGACAGTTAAACTTTCAGCTACCTGAGCTGACGCTTCCTCTGCAGAGCCTTCTGAGTCGCACTGGATAAACGACTGGGTCTCTTCTCAGCAGCTGCAGATTCTGCTTTATTCTGCAGAGAAAATAAATGAAAGGTACCGGTAATTAGCACTAGAAAATATATAAAGATCTTTGGTCTGAAGGATCTATAATCTTCCACTCTCTTGTCCAGTATCTACATGTATGTGTAGTAGCACACTGGGGCATTTTTCCAGACAACTGAATGAACTTATTCCTGTACTAGTACTAAACATAAGATACCCAACATACCATCTTCATCCTCCTCTCGTCCTGGATGTCGCGATCATGACTGATGATTGCCATCTGACCTTGAACTGGGAGTTGGAAGAACACATCATGGACCTCCAGGAGAGCTGCCTGCAGCTGTGGGCACAAACAGATTTTCACATACATTCACTCCATACACAAAGTAAAGAATTACCATCAAGCCTTGGATCAGTCCTTTGATCCTTCAAAAGAAAAAAAATTCCAAGTTATAACATCAAGAAGAACTTTCATTTAAATTACAACAGTCATGCTGCTTGTCAGCATTACATAGAATTACATTTAAAACATTTGGAAGTAGAACAGATTTGTCACTGCTTTAAATAAATGCAAAATGCATGCAATAATATCAATAGAGTTTATAATATGTAGGACATTAGAGCATAAGAAGTGAGGTGCATGTTCCCACCTGCACCATGACCCTCTGCACCAGTTCTGCATCCTGAGTCGTCACCATGCCCTTCCTGATGGGCGTCTCCTGCTGCAGGCTCATGATCAGCTCTGTCGTGTCCTGTAGAACAAGACAGCGAACAGTTGGATAGAACATTAGGAAGCAATAAATTGACTGAATTTCTACTGCACTACTACTTCTGACTGTATAGTCTCATTTGTGAACAGTAGGACCAATGGCAAGTTTGTTTAAGAATGCTGATAAGAGTGATGACTCTGGTTCAGAAGCCTACAGTCGTGTGACAAATGGAGTTTATTCACACCTAGAGAAAGAACACAAACAGCATATACATATACCTTGTTTTACTGAATAACTTGGACTTCTGTTTGTTTTGTTACACAGTTATTCAAACCGACTGATTTCAGTCTGGTGTACCACAACCAGATAATCCAGGAGCCAGGTCTGGACAAATTAGTGGAA